AAGATGGGTATATCCTTTCCATTAACAGAATTCCTCAAGGCCTACTATCATTTAAGAAGAAAGGTATGGTTTGCCCAGTGTCACCCCAACACAGCAGCTTCCTTGTAGCTGCGACTTCCTTGTGATTTCTGTTTATAGAAGTCAGGATTCTTAGTGCAGCCAGGGATCCATCAGTAAGTCAAAGGATGGTGTTAGTTTCCCCAGAATCTCCATCACCACCACCCTATCCCACCCAACACCCATCAGTTATTTCAAATAAACATACAGTGTTTGCTTTTTTAAAAAAAATACACCTATAGACTGAGTTGGGGGTTAGTTCAGTGGTCGAGCATGTGCTTAGCATGTATGAGCCCTAGGTTTGAGCCCCAGCACCAACAAACAAACAAAATCCAACACAAGATAAACCACCTTCAATAAAAATCCATTTCTTCACCTCTTCTAGCACTTAACTCTTTTCCCAAAGTCCTCCTGTATAAATGTTCTAGAATATTCAATGATGATCGCTTGAACAGACCTCCCCAACCCATACCAGTGAAGAATGGAAACTCTACCACGCTCACCACCTCACATTTATACACTGTATTCCCCATGCAAAGAGCACTTTAAATATTTAAAATGTCTCCTCGTTTTTCTTCCTTTGTTTTTTTTTTTATTGTTGGTTCTTTTTAGTTATATATGACAGTAGAATCCATTTTGGTATATTATAAAAGCATGGAGTATGTATAATTCTAATTAAGATCTCAATCTTATGTTTATACACAATAGTGGGATTCACTATGGTGTATTCATAAATATACATAGGAAAATTATGTCAGATTCATTCCACTATTTTTTTCTTTTCCTATCTCCCCTCCCTTCCCTTCATTCCCCTTTGTCTAATCCACTGAATTTCTGTTCTTCCCCTCACCCACCCGCTTATTGTGGGTTAGCATCTATGTATCATATAAAACATCTGACCTTTGGTTTTTTGAGATTGGCTTATTTTACTTAGCCTGATAGTCTTCAGATCTACCCATTACTGGCAAATGTCACAATTTCATTTTTCTTTATGGCTGAATAATATTCCACTGTGTACATATGCCAGAATTTCTTTATCCTCTCATCTATTGAAGGGCCAGTAGGTTGGCTCCATAGCTTAGCAATTCTGAACATTAATGTGGCTGTGTCACTGCTGTATGCAGATTTTAAGTCCTTTGGATATACACCAAAGAGTGGGATATCTAGGTCAGATGGTGGTTCCTTTCCTAGTTTTTTGATTGCCTCAGTTTTTCACTAAGGACTTTTTAAGAACCAAGCTGTGTATACACATTTTTAATTTTTGATATATCTGTATAGTTTCTTTTTTTTAATTTGTGAGATGCTCAACTAATACTGGCTTTTAAAAAATTCATCTTCATTACTAATTAAAATATTCTTATCTCCTATTTTATTTGGCTCTCTTTGTTTTACTACTTTAGCTCGTTATTTACAGTGGCACCTCAATTATCTGTCACATATACAGGTAATATCATTTCTGTTTTTTAAATATATTTTTAAGATTTTTTTAGTTGTAGACGGACACAATGCCTTTATTTTATTTATTTATTTTTATGTGGTGCTGAGGATCAAACCCAGTGCCTCATACATGCGAGGCAAGCGCTCTACCACTGACCTACAACCCCAGTCTAGATAATATCATTTCTTACATTCTTCTTATATACCAGGTACAATAGTAAATGCTTTACTATCATTTAAGGTTCACCATAACCCTAAGAAACTGCCAGTCACAGAGGTTATGTCACTCCCAGAAAGTCTGTGCTAGCACTTGCTAGAATGTTGCACTCAGATCCATATCTGTTTGCCAGAGTAGCCCTTGTTTTAACTAGAATCAGAAAATACTTGGAAACACTGTTGGCCTTCAGAATAAATAAGCTTCAGGGTTTTGTTCCAATTTTTACTCATGTTATTTTTTGAAAATCAACTCCTTTTTTACACTAGAGACCCAGTTGTACTTTATGTATGTCCAACATGTTTCCACCTCAGTGCCTTTGAACTTAAGTTCTCACTTGGACCATCAGATGTCTATGCAGCTTGCCCAGGCCCTTCTTCCCTGACCTGACTTCTCAAAACAGCAACCCCTTGCCATCTGGTCACAGCTGGCCCCTTACCCGGCTCACTTTTCCTTCCAGCATTTAATATTCTCTGATATGGCAGATCATTGCTTGTTAGTGTATCATCTGTCTCTCCCCTACCAGAGGGTAAGCTCAGTGGGAATAGGGACTTCATCTATCTTGTTCCAAGGCAGTAAGACTATTGAGCACATTGTAGGTGCTAATAAATATCTTTTAAAAGGATGAATGGATTCTGTATAAAAGAAAAAAAAATGAATTGCCTAGAAACATGGAGAAACCTTTCACGAAGCCCCACAGATCCTGAAAGGTGAGCAAGGCATGCCACTTTATAAAGCAATTAGCAACTACTAAGCATGGGGTTCAGCCTGCAGCCCTGTTTGTGGATCAAGTTTGCTTTCTCATACCCTGCTGACTTACACAGTTCACTCATGCTGAGCAGCTTGGGGTTCAAGGGAGCAGCTTCTAGTCCAATTGGAGGAACAATCCCCCCCAGTGGCTGATATTGTTCCTGTAGATCCTGTTTGCCTCTTCTGGGCTATTCTTAATTTATTATATGTTTATTATATGGATATCATTTCTTACTATAACTTTATTGTGATGCTCAAATTCTCCTTCAAGCTGGCTTGAGAGTCCTTTTGACCTGAAGGACCCTTAAACAATATCTATGTGTAGTATACTCTCTACTGGGGCACTTCTAACATTTTCTGAGGAGCACAGACAACTCCAGTCATAATAAATAAGTAAAAACAACAATGGAAACTGAATTTTATTCTTTTTTGGGTTTTTCTTGGGGGGGAGGGGTTGCCAGGCATCATGCCATCTGTTCCTTGTGCTTGATCATATTTAATATTAAAAAGAAGAATTTTACTGATGATGAGAAAATTGGGACACAAAAGTATTTAGCAATGGGCCAAGACAATCAAGCTATCAAGCAGCTGAGTCAGGATTCTGTCTGTATCTGCTCATAACCTTTCATAATTTTTTGGTTTGTCTGACCTGGAAGCCCTTGCACATTAGGCAATAACAAGAAGAGCAGAGAGCACTTCACACATGTGGAATTTTCTCTTGACTGCAGGTTCCAGGCCAGTGGTGCTCCTGCAGCATGGCCTGCTTGGAGATGCCAGCAACTGGATTTCCAACCTGCCCAACAACAGCCTGGGCTTCATTCTGGCCGATGCTGGTTTTGATGTGTGGATGGGGAACAGCAGGGGAAACACCTGGTCTCGGAAACACAAGACCCTCTCCATAGAGCAAGATGAGTTCTGGGCTTTCAGGTACATGGAGGAAGGTAGATATGGATGTCTTGGGGAGAACTGGGTAAAAAAAATTATAGCTTCTAGTTTCCGGAGAATTCATTTTGGTTGTGTAATCAGTATCTTCATATGATAATCCTGAATTTTCTTAATTCACTAGTAATTCTTTGGGGGAAGATGGAGAATATTGGGTCCCTACATAGAAAGTTGGGTCTAGCTAATGGAGAGAAAATGCTCATTGGTGTCAGGTGATGGAGGCTGGAATGAGAGAAGTGTAGACCCATTTCCTTGCAGATGGGTATCCTGAGACTGACTTCCATGAATGATAACAAGGGGAGTGGCCCCCAAAAGGAGAAGAGACCAGGTGGCATATAAAGGAGGGGGGGACTGTTATACCTTGGGGGCCATCGATTTGATTAACATCTCTCATGGCCTAACAAATAGTTACTGTTTTTACCTAAATTATACATTGATATTCAACCTTCTCTTTATACATTTCATCAAAGAGTTCCTACCATGTCTTTAATATGTTTCCTATAAAGGAATCTGTATGACCTGCTGCTGTTCTGCTAACTGTGTAAGAGGACCCCTCCATTAGGAGGTGGATCATGTGCTCAAATAAATATTCACTGATGACCATTGTTCTATGATAACATCTAGAGAACGCAGAGAGGTTCACTGACAGCCTGTGACTCCAGTGACACCCATGGATGGCAAGTTTGAAGCAAGTCCATCTGAGTCATGGGAGAGGAATAGTGATGAGCTATCAGGGCTGACCAGTCAAGACCTTATTTGCAAATCCTGGGAGGGGGTAGTAATTCTGTCTGTATCTGATCATAATTTTTCATATAACTTTGTCTTTTCCCCTTGTAGTTATGATGAGATGGCTAGGTTTGACCTTCCTGCAGTGATAAACTTTATTTTGCAGAAAACGGGCCAGAAAAAGATCTATTATGTCGGCTATTCACAGGGCACCACCATAGGTAGGTTCAAAGTCCATCAGGTTTGTATGCTCAGAAGAGACATGAGCCTTTGGCCCAAGCTGTGCCTGGAATCACTCCCTCCTTCTTCTTTCTGATTGGATGGTTTTCTCTTTAAAACTGAGCTGAGAGGAACAGGAATTGAATTGAGGGAGGGATGCAGTATGGTTGAAAGACCAAGGGCTTTGAAATCAGAGAGATGTGGATTAAAATATTGTCTTTGCCAACCCATACCTAAATATCCTTCAGCAGATTCTCTAACTCCTCTGGCCCCGGTTTCCTCATCTACAAAATGGGGATAATAACTCCCTCTTAGCAGTGTTAGAACTGTGGAACTACTTGATATGATGATGTATGTAAAATCAGTGTCTACTCTCCTTTTGCTTTGGATGATTTTGTGAAAGACTTAATAGGTGGCCCATAGGATCCAGAACACTTACCTGGGGAGACGGAGATTGTGGTCATCTTAGCTTCTTATCAGATCAAAGTCAATAGGTGAAGTGTGATAGGCTTAGATTAGGAGGCAGAAATATTTCAGGAGGCATGGCATGTGACATGAGGAGGCGGCGTTCCAGAGAGAGATCTCTTTACCCTCATCCTGAGGCCAAACCCTAAGATATAGGCCAGGGTACACTTTTCGAAGGAGAAAAGTGAGCAGTCACTTACTGTAAGTAATACTCATTCTTTAACCAGGACAGCTGTGTCCAGCCACCAGGATAAGGTTTATACTCATTATTATGGAAATATATGGTTTTGTAAACAATTTAATTTTGGGCCCCCTTTGGCATCTGTATTTTAATAACATCTTTATATCATGCAAGCCTTCATAATAATAATAGCCTTTTGCCAGACACAGTGGTGCATGCCTGTAATCCCAATGGCTCAGAAGGCTAAGGCAGGAGGATCTTAAGTTCAAAGCCAGCCTCAGCACATGCTAGGCACTAAGCAACTCAGTGAGACCCTGTCTCTAAATAAAATACAAAATAGGGCTGGGGATGTGGCTCAGTGGCCAAGTGCCCCTGAGTTCAATACCTGATACCCTCTAAAATAAATAAATAATTGCCTTTTGTGAACACTTACTAACTGCCACCCCTTACATACGCATCATTTTGCTTTGTTTCTGCACAAGAATATGTGGGAAATGTTTGTAACCCTATTTTATGGATGAATAATTTGTAGCTCATTGAAAGAGCTTAAACAAGTGCTTATACAGTAGGTTCTAAGCCAGGGCCTATACCCATGTACTCAAAACTCATGCTAAATAATCACTGTACAGTGAGGTCCATAAGGGGAATAGGAATTGTATACACATTGCTAACTCCTATAAGAGTCTTTACTGCCACCTCCAGAGACATTCTTAATGTTAAGTTATTCTAAAAACAAAAATAGATGACCTCTAGGATGATAGGTTCATCGACATACTGAAAGCTTTATGAATGCAGGCCAATAGTGGGGGTACTTCAGCCAGCCTTTAGTTAACTCGAAGGTTGCTTATTGTTCCCTTGATGTGACAATATACCATGCCATCAGTCTGAAACCATGTTTCTGAGACCTCAGTGGTCTATTCTGTCACTTTGTCTGTGGATGCTGACTTGCCAGGTGATTTGCTTCTGCAGTCTTTCACAATGACCATTAAACATCATCAGCAAGCCATGAGTTCACCTTTGGCTCTTTATCTTCAAGCAATAATGGCCTCTTTACCTTCCTCTGAAATTACTCAGGTTTGGGCTCTATCCTCAAGCAAGTAAGGAAAATAAAGTAGTTTACATACTCGCTTTGAGAAGTTTCAAGGAAAAAGGAACCACAATTAAAAGAGGAAATCCAACATATATGTAAGGCAAACATTTTCTAAGAAAGCCCCTTCTGTATCAAATTATTTGGATCTTTGCTGTAAGCTGATTGGCCCTGGCAAATACATCCTAAGAAAGGAGGCTGAGAATCATGACAAACCTGGTTGGCAAAGACTAAAAAACTTGGCCAGAGCCTCTGGTCACTGACTTTTATTAAACAGAGACCACATGTAGTTTACCACACAGGATTAACCTGACTCCAAAGGAAGGTAAGCATAGCAGAATAATTCACTACTCATTCACTATTTTTATTTGATTCTCTCTTGTTTGTGTAAATCAAAATGCTGCTTTCAGCGTTATGTTGAGGATGATGTGATTCACTGGGCTTCATACTACCAGGGTTCAATTTCACATGAAGGCAAGGTGTTGATGACAAGGCTAGGTGCTATTTTCAGAGGAAAGAAGGGGCAAGAAAGCATAAGGTTTTTCAAGTGGTAAACCATGGAGCTGATAATATGGAGAACTTGAACTTGTTTTGCATTCGGAGAGGTAGTGTGGGAGGGGTTATCTAGAGTTCTCAGATGTTGACATTGCTCAGGCTTAAGGTGGGGTGTAGTTTGTGTATTTCCACCCATTCCTGCTAATGGTGTAACTGAGAGAGCAGAAGGTAATAACATGTCACTTCTGTGCCTGCCTTTCTTAGTATGTGGCTGCCAAACCTAATCAGATGGAGGGAAAAGTGGAAAGAGCCTCTTCCTCATCCTCACCCACATTCCAGGAACTAGCCTGAAGTCATGTGATTCTAGTTTTTCTCTGCCCAGCATTCTCAACGATTCCTCAAACTGCAAATACCACGCTAGGCAGAGCATATGCAGGCTTTTTAAAAACAGACACATGGTATTTCAAATATAATGACAACATCCTGGCTTTAGGTAATTTCTCTTTTTTTCCATGGGCTCCATAAAGATCTTCCCTAAATTTTGAGGAATTTGTCTTTTTTCTACAGATATAGAAACTGAGTCACAGACTGATTTAATCAAGATCTTATGCCAAGTCTAAGGCATAAATAAGAACTGGAATCTGGTTCATTAGACAATTAAATGTCTATCAGACCATGCTACAGTTTGGGTTCCAGAAAAGTTAGGGATCAAGGAAAACCAACCCAAACCCTGAGACCCCTATGCTAATTGTTACAGAACATACCTCTTACAGAGCAAGGTAATTTCTTAAATTCTGTTTCTTTCACTATAAAGTTGATTTTTAATTTTTTTTTAAATAAGCTCAGTTCTGGAAATTAGGTGAGTAAAGTAAAGTGTCCAGCATGTTATTACCTCAACATGTATATTTTTTTCTCAAAGTCAAAATTTTTGTGTATTCAATAATTCAATGGAGAACTTATTGATTGAAAGAAAATATCATAGGAATACAGAGGAGTCTTTGCTCCTGCCAGAAGTTTATAATTTTATAGAAGGAGAGTTAAGACACAATCACACTTAATTATTAAAATATTTTAACAAATATCCTTTTTACAGGTTCTAGGACATTCTGTGTCCATGATGACAAATATTTCTCTCTTACAGGCTTTATTGCATTTTCCACGATGCCAGAGCTGGCTCAGAAAATCAAAATGTATTTTGCTTTAGCACCCATAGCCACTGTTAAATATGCAAAGAGCCCTGGGACCAAATTTTTGTTGCTGCCAGATATGATGATCAGGGTAGGTGACACCTCAGATACTCCCTTGTGTATGGAGAAGAGTCTTTCAGCCAAGTTTTCGAAAATATAAACTTTTAAGTTATAGCCAATTTTTTTTTTTACTGCCCATACTTTAATGATTCCTATTTTACTTCATATTTTCACAGGGATTGTTTGGCAAAAAAGAATTTCTGTACCAGACCAGATTTTTCAGACAGTTTGTTATTTACCTTTGTGGCCAGGTGATCCTTGACCAAATCTGTAGCAATATCATACTACTTCTGGGAGGATTTAACACGAACAATATGAACATGGTAAGTAGGAGCCTAGTCTCCAAGCTTTGTCTTCTAAGTCTCCTAAGCAAAGCTGGGCATAACTAGTGTCACTCCTAGGATGTAAACTACTGCCAGTGAAGACAGTAAAGAGAAAAGATGCACACCCAGTTATCTTCAGTTTTCAAATCATTAGGAAATGCTATAAAGCTTCAGCAGGGGCAGAAGCAAGGTTGACCTTAGATTCCAGATGGAAGATTAGAACCTTGAAGTCAACAGAGGGAACCGCCATGCGTCATCCACCTCTTCTCTCCACTGGGGTCTTTTTGGTTTAAGTTCTGTGATGGGACATCTGGGAGTTTCAGCTTGGCTCAGGCAGAGCTATCAACTGGAGAGTGTCACAGGATGGGTTTCCTGCGGCAAATAGATTGGGTTGGAGATTTTTGTGTGGAATGATGTTGAGATCTGCTCTTGAGATAACACCCAAAGAAGGAAGGACACAAGATTTGGTGGGTGAAAATGTGAAGCATTGATGCAGTCTCAGGACAAGCCTCAATGGCTTCTACAAGGATTCGTGAAGATGGGGTGACCCTTCAGCCCTGTCCCAAGTTGGGAGGAAAGGGCTGGTCTTTGTATTCTACATGTCGTTTAATGCAGACCACACTAGTAATGAGGGAGGCATTGGTCAGGCGTTTCTCAGAAGCCAGGGTGATCCCAATCAAGATGGTCAGTGGAGGAATGCCAGCAGCTGGAGAAACAGATCTTTAATTCCTGGACTTTATTGTTTTTCAGTTGATAATTTCACTTATAGCTACCATTTGATAGATATTCATTTTGTGTCAGCTGCTATTCCCTATAAGAAACCTATGCAAAAAATATTATCAGTATCCTCACTTTACAGATTAGTATACTGAGATTTAGTGAGTTAAATTACTTGCCCAAATTCAGCTAAAAATTAAGCAGCAGAGTTAGACCCCATTCCAGAGTCCTCATTCTAAATATCTCTAGTATTATTTTTTAAGTGAATGAGTCATTTCTAAGGAGAAACTATTCTCAGGTGAAAATTGTAGGTGCCTGAGAAGATATTTAGTAATATTTTATTGATGTGCGTATGTACATTACTGTCTCATAGGTAATTACTAACAAGTTGATGGTGTTTCTATCTAGAGATTTGACCTTGACAAGGTGCACATCAGTTTTTCCATGTCTCACAAACCACTCATGCTGTGTTACAGAGTCGAGCAAATGTGTATGTCGCCCACACTCCTGCTGGGACATCTGTGCAAAATATTTTACACTGGAGCCAGGTGAGAATGTTGGATTTGTAGTCTTTCTAAGGGGTCTTGCACATTTTGTCTGGAATAGTCCAAGGATGCCCTTTTGACAGTTCTGGGGTTTGTGTTTATTCCATGATGATATGCAATCTGGTCACTGATGTTTCTATAGTGGACTTGATATAGATCAGGAGAATGAGAGGAAAGGACAGGAATGGTTTAAGGACATCTACAGAGGATCTTAAAAATAAGATGGCCTATGTGAGAAACTTCTCTGTCTCTATCCACTTCAAAGATGGGCCTGGAAGAAATTATGTTTCCACATTCCCCTTGTGGCTTCTCCAACAGCAGAGTCAAGTAGGAACAAAAATACTCGGGTGGGCCTAGGGGCCCAGAGAGATTTTCACAAAAGTCCGCTGCACTGTAAACTTCACCTATAATCTCAGAAGAAAAAGCTCTTTGTGTGTATGTCTGTGAGATGTGTGTGTGTAGAGAAATATTGCATGATCAAAATCAAAGAAAAATTCTAAATTGAATTAAGCTTTAGTCACTATCTCCCAGAATCTCCACATTGCACAATTCCAGGGCACTTTCCCATTGTAACCTCTAGAATTGTGTCAAATACCTACCCACATGGATTACACTGAGGGTGCACTTCCTGGAGTTGCTAATGTGGTGGTCAGGTGTTTCTGCAGTCCGTCTCTTTCCCTGAAAGAGTTCGGTTCTTGCCTTTGCACTTTCTTAAAGATTATCCCAGAATGGAAGAGCAGCTCAAAGGGTCTTGTTCTCTATTTCCCTCACAGTTTCAGATGTTACGGTAGCATATTTCCACCACCCCATCACCACATTTGAATATCTGGTAAATTTTTCTCTCATAGGCAGTGAATTCTGGGGAACTCCGAGCATTTGACTGGGGGAGCGAGACCAAAAATCTGGAGAAAGGCAATCAGGTAAGAAAGACAGAGAGCATCTGCTATGCACATATCCTTTGGAAACGTGTGTGAGAGAAATTACAATGATAGGCACGTTCAGGGGTGGGAATAAAATACAAGAGTTCAAGAAGGAAATAAGAGTTTGTGTTTGACTCCATTTGAAAATGGAAAGAATTCACAGCTTAGCCAAGAGACTTCTTGGCTTCTAGAATGGAACAGAAATAATTTTTGCTAAGGCTTCCTTGTGAGCAAGACACAGGGCCTCTCTGGAACAAGATGAGGGAGATTTAGTCTAGGGATGAGTATTGTCTAGGAGGGAGAGTAGAACAATCCTTTTCTGATCAAAACAAGCAGACTAATGGGGTTGGGAGTATGAGGTTGTTGCATGACACAATAAAAAGAATGGCAATTGAGGATTCCTGTGTTAGTCTTGCCTCTGCTGTATAAGCTTGTGTGATAGTGGGTAAGCTGCTTTGATTCATCAGGACTCACTTAGCTTTAAAATAAAAAATAACTAAGCTGGGTGTGGTGGTGCACACCTGTAATCCCAGTAGCTTGGAGGCTGAGTCAAGAGGATTGCAAATTCAAAGCCAACCTCAGAAACTTAGTGAGGCCCTAAGCAACTTAGTGAGACCCTGTCTCTAAATAAAATATAAAAAGAGCTGGTTATGTGGCTCAGTGGTTAAGCAACCCTGGGTTCAATCCCTGGCACCAAATATATATTTTTTTAAATTATTGGATTAAGAAATTCTTAAGAATTATTCCTGATTACACTTTTAAGGAATTTGTGACTTGTAAGTTACAAATATGAAAAAGAATATTAGTAACCCAGCAAATATGTAGCCAGTGCTATGGAATAAATAAAAAACAGAAGTATGAGGATCAGAATTGGATAAGGAGGCTATTTTGATCATAAAACTTTCACTGAGGATTATTGGTTAGCATGGGTATGAATGTAAATAAATATTGATCATACAAACAAAATGAGGGAGAATAGTGGACACAGCCTCATCTTCCTCTGAGAAGCTCACATCCTACTTAACATCCATTCTGTACATCCATGTAGACAAAAAATGCTAGGAAACTGAACAGATCAGTTATCCCTGGATAGCAAACTCTCAATCAGCTATCAACTACTTCTTTTTAGATCCTTCTTTACTTGTTACCTAAAAAAAAAAATGTCTTTAAAGAAAGAGTTACTGTTCTGAGATAGTTTTAATTTGTCAACACTTAGTGGACTGAGTCCTAGAGGAAGAGATTCATGCAGACTAGACACCAGAAAATGGTAGTAGAAGGGAAAGGAAATAAAACACATAGAATGGGCTCATAGAATCAGGGTAACACGGACCTAGACAGGACATATAGTTCAATCTCTTCCCATGTAAGATGAGAAAAAAATATGACTGACTCCATAGAATATTCCAACCTTTTATATCTAAATTAGTCTATGATTCCAAATTCTTAAGGAACCACGAAGACAAAGAAGGATATCTAAATTTGGAGCTGGGATACCATGGTAAATTTTGTGATAAGAAATGAGCCAATTCTATGGAAAATTCCGGATGCCAGTTAATCTCAAGGTCTCAGACTGCCAAGCATATTTACTAGCTCAGCTTGAAAATCCCAGGAAATAGGAAGATTATAACCCTTCTTTGGATAATTTGAGCAGAATATGGAATTGGGGTTAGAACAGGCATTTAACTTGACCTGATCAAATTACCTGAGTGCCAGAGGTCAGTTTGTGATTTCCCTAAGTGTTTGGAGGTGCAGTCAAGCTGGGCCTGTGCCACGGGATGCTTGGGATCATTTAGTTTCTGTGAGGATCCAGAGGCCTTCCCAGTAGGATTTCTTGCCTTTCTATGTAGAATATTTTTAATTCTTGCCTGCTGAAGCATCTGTGAAATTATCTTTAAACACTAATAGGGACATTATTTTAAAATTTATCTGTAAAATTTATCTGTAGTATAATTACTAGGAAATCATTAAACGTTATTCAATGTCTAATCCATAAGGTGTAGGGGATGGTGATGTTGCTCAGTGATAGAATGTGTGCAGGGCGTACACCAGGTCCTGAGAAAAAAATATGACTGACTCCATAGAATATTCCAACCTTTTATATCTAAATGAGTCTATGACTCCAAATTCTTAAGGAACCACTCTCAGCACCACAATCACCCCACAAACTGAAGGTAATGTTTTCTCACTTGATCTTGTAATTATCCCCATTTCATAGATGAAGAAACAGGTTTAATGACATTAGGTAATTTCACCTTAAAGTAAGGAGCTGGAACAAAATTTTTATTTGTTTGTTTGTTTGTTTGTTTATGTACTGGGGGGTGGACCCAGGCCCTTGTGCCTGCTAGGCAAGTGCTCTACCACTGAACTACCTCCCCAGCTAGAAACTCTTACTGGACTTCTGATGGCTCTAAAGCCCATGCATCTTTCACCACAATATATGCCATGTTTATTGTCATATTGTTTATTTGAAATATAAGTTATGAGCTTGGGAGTTCAAATACTTCAAGTTAAAACTATTTCAAGTTAAATCTCTTTTTCCTCTCTAGCCAACACCTGTGAAATATAAAGTTCGAGATATGACAGTCCCGACAGCAATGTGGACAGGAGGTCAGGACTGGCTTTCAAATCCAGAAGATGTGAAGACACTGCTCTCTGAAGTGACCAACCTCATCTACCACAAGAACATTCCTGAATGGGCTCATGTGGATTTCATTTGGGGGTTGGATGCTCCTCACCGTATGTACAATGAGATCATACATCTGATGAAGCAGGAGGAGACCAACCTTTCCCAGGGAACCTGCAAGGTCAAACTGTAAAGCCTCTGAAACTGACAAGTTTTGGGGACAATCTTATAAGGTTAGGGCCAGGAGTAGAGAATTTTAAGGGGAATTTCCAGAAAAAGTAGAAGAGAAGGCAGAGATACAGTGTACATTCTTTGACATTTTTGCATTTGGCACTAAAACCATTTCTTAATTTTTTTTTCTGATTAGTTAAACTAAACTAACTTGGTAAATTCAGGTTTTCTGTGCTATTAGGTTTTCTACCATCTTGAAGAGTAGGTTGTTCCTGACAACCAAAAAGTATCTCTATATTCCCTAC